CCCAATGCATTGCAAACCAAAAAATAAATTGTAATTATTTTCACAATACTTTTTGCACAATTAAGCGGCATTAAATGCAAGGACAAAAATATAAACATAATAAAAATGCATCGAGCAAATACATAAATATATATACACACACAGTCATACAAGCACAAATGACTGCAGATACGAAAATCAAATATAAATGGACGCTATGCTTAATGAAATAAAATGTAAATTTAACTGTCACTGTAAACCACTTAAAAATAAATATGTAAAATTATCACAATATTTAATGAACCAACAGACCAGAAAGCCAAATTCCCAACTGATGACGTCAGTGCAACAAGGATGCTGGGAAAGGGGTCCTGGAAGGGCTTTTAAAAATTATCCCTGATATATGACTTTATCTATGCGATGCACACACAGAACTGAATAAGTGGCTTTTTTTGTTTGCCCAACAGCAATGACAATGAGTTAAAAATGGAAATCAAATTGAAAATGAAATTAAATGCAAATACCAAAGAGTTCATTTTATTTAAGGTTTTATAAGAGTAGAGTAAAATAATAGAAATAATACAAAATAGAAGAATGTCTTAGACAGGGTTAAGATTTTGGGAAGTAATACAGCAACTTATATTAATTTAAATTGCAAAATTATCTTTCTTATCTAAGAAAAATATTATAAATCTTTATTTATTGGAACTTATATTTAAATCTATACAATTTTGGAAAGCCTTTCAAAATTTAAACTTAGATTTCACTTTTATAAACCAATAACAATAATGCCACTTTAATACAACTTATCTTCATTGTAAACATTAATTAATCTTTTCTTAAAAAACCATATTTACACAATTATAATCATTTAAAAATATTAAACAATTTAATCACTTAAACTCAATTTTTCCCCTCTCACTATCCTTATTCTTGCTCCTCGTTTTCATTTGCAAATGTCTGTGTGGTCACTTAAATCCTGTTCCGGACTGAAATCGGTGAAGCACTTGAAATTTTTAAGCTTACGTGGTTCAAGGATATAGAGGAGGGGTATTTAAGAGGAGCCTGCAGGAGAGGTTAGAGCTCTTCTCCACTTTTGTGTGCTTAGCTAATGGTTCAGTCTGGCTTATGTAGCTCTTCAGCAGAAGATGCCTTTCCAACCAGAAACATTTTTGCGGTAAAAATAACAAAATCGTAATGCTGCCTAATAAAGACACAAAGATGAAAATTAAATATTAAAAATACAAACGAAATGGAAAGTACCTACTAATTGCCAAGCAATTGGATTAATTTTAGCCATAAAGCAAACTATTTAGGAATGTATAGATAAGGTTAGTTAGGGAGATTTAGAAAATTATTGAAAAGGTAAATTTATTAGTTAATTATAAGTATAATCTTTAAGCTCTCTTCTGCTATTGAATTGATAGAGTTGTTATGATATTCATTTTTATAGGACTGTAGCTTATTGTTTCGCATATTGAAGGTTTCCAAAGTGGCTTTCCATTTCCAAAGAAATCACCTCCCCTTTTACCAAAAGTCAACTTTCACTTCCATAACTTTACCCGCAGCTGTCATAAAAAAAATACGCGCAAAAAGGAAGAACGTAACGAACGTATTTTTTTTGTGTCGACCGGGTCCAAAGGGAACAAGGGATGTGGGTAGGGTTAAGGAGCCGCACACATAAATTAATACAAAATACACTTAAACAGGAGAGAGCAGCAAAACAGAACAAAAGTAATATATATATAACGAAAAACTTTTGTGCTCATTGATTTATTGCGTTAATATTTCTGCTTTAATGCATCAAATAAATTAAATTGTCTTACGCACCTTTCAGCAGTCGAAGAGAGAGGGAGGAAAAAAACTTTGATGCCACTTTGAGCGGGCGGAAAAATCACAAAGAAAATGGGGGTCTAACAGAGCATTATTTCCAGAGCGAGCAGCAAATGCATAACTTCGATTTCGTAAAAGAAACAAATAAATATTCATAAAAAATTATTCTTTCTTTTCCCACGCATTTTCCACACTTGGCCATCACTCTCTCCCCTTCGTCAAGGAAAGCACTTTGCAGGATCTTCAGTCGCCGCCGCTGTTTTGCATACTGTAGGAAAATTGATGGTGAGGGGAAAAGGCGTTTGAATTATAAATATTCATTTATGCTAAGCAAGCTGGGGAAAAACCAAGGAGGAGGGGAGGGGGTTGGGGGACAAGGGCAGCGTGAATTTTTCCAGGTGTACTGCGGGGGTGTTACCTTTGTCGCGTCACACCACCTTTTCTTTTTGTTGGGCTGCTCCTTTCGCTTCTGTTTCTGTCTTGGCCTCCTTACCAACAGGTCGTATGATTGATTTAATTACGGTGTAAGGCGTGTTTTTTGTCAGTCTTCGGAGCATTAAACTTTCACTCTCTTTTGGGTTTTTGTTAGACAGGTGCAAATGGAACCTATTTTTAGGTATTATAAGGATCCACTAACAGGTTGTTTATATATTGTTTACCTTACTGAATGGGTATACTTGTAAATCGTTAACTGGGATGTTTATTATAGAAAGAAATTATGGAAAAATAGTACATTTCTGTTCATTTAACCATTAATTTAATTGAATAAGTATTTATTTTTTGTTACTTAGTCTAAATTGCCTGTATTTTTCTTATATTATATTATTATTATTCACTTTAGTTCTGTAAACAATTTATTTATTCAACAAACTGCTTGTCGAACTCGCTTTACTCTGAGAACTGTCTGTGGTCTAAAAATATCATTTCGTTAATTATGAATTACTCTTGAGAGTATTGTGGTTATTTTCAGACCTTTTTTTCTGCGACTTGTTTTTATGATTGCTCGATTCGGCTTAAACTCTGTGGCAAGTCATTAAACTTGCTGAGCATCTCATCCCACCCTCTCTTCGGAGTGCTTATCGCTATCCAACCAAATGTTTGAAATTTATGTGTTTTGCTCATTGTTACTGTGCTGTTACCGCTCTGTTTTTGAATGAAAAGTCTCGGCTAAGCGCCAAAACGCCCGCATCTACATATAATTTCCGCTTTTTCCCTTTGTAGGCGCTCACACACAGCATCGGATGGGAAGGCCGGGGCGTGGCCAAAAGGGAAACAAACAAGCGGCAGTCGTACTTCATGTAATCAACATTTTAATTGCGGAAACGGAACTCGCACACACACACAGACACAGAGAGAGTGTACAACATGGCGTATGTGGAATATCTGTTACAAATTACGCATACGCAGTGTATGCTTCAGTCCCCAGTGTCTGTGTGTGTGTGTTTTTTTTCTATGGTTCTCTGCAGACCAGCACCAACCTCATTCTATCTCAAATCTCTTTTCCATGCCATTCTCACAGGAATTCATTACATCAAATATAAAGAAAGTTTTAGGCAATTTGCCAGGGAAAGAGAGAAAACCCCTTTTAACTCTCCCACTATCATGATATATACTATATATTTCTATATATAAACCCACTCAAATGCTGCACCTGCAGCATAGCTGCATGCAGGTAGCCCAAATCTACTTAGCTGATGGCGTGGTCGCCCGCGGGGAGGGGGAAAGGTAACAGAGGGGGGGCGTGGTGCCGCTGCTAGGTGGCTAGGTAAACGTAAACGAATTTGCGAATATGCAGCAGCAGCCGTGGCAACAACATCAAACGAAAAACTTAATACCTCAAAAAAGGATATCGAAAGTGAGAATACTCTATAAAAATCAACACCTTGGATTAAGGTTCAAAAAGATGGTGTTTTTTAAGGCAAAATCTACCATATTCTATCTAAAATATAAATAGAGGTACTCATTTAAGTTAATTAAAAAATACAGAAAAGAACTATGATAACCTATCTATAGGTTCAATAAGAAGGTATTATTTTAACCACACTCTACGATATTTTATCTGAAATATTTCTGGTAGAAATACTTATTTCAATTCATTAAAAATAAATCAAAAACTTATGTATCAACATATAGGTACAATAAAAAAGTATTATTCTAAAGCAAACTCAAAGAGTTTTGATTTAGAATATCTCTAACAGAGTTACTTTCTTAAAGTAACTAATACAAGAAGAAGCAAAGCAACAAATAATTTTACAAGTTAATCTCAAATTTTCTATATATATTTCCTAAATATTATTATTTTATTAATTGATTACCATATCCTTAAAGAAAACCAAAACACAAAGTTCTCTAAGCAATCAAAACTAGCTTCTTCAAGATCTTTTATTATAAAAATCCTGTCTAGTCTATCATGATCCTTTGACAAGTTTGCTACCCCTGAATACGACAATCCTTCTATCCCTCCCCTCCTTTTGCACCACCATCACCTGCATGTTTTTTCTTCTTCCACCAACACTTTTCCTTATAGATGGGAAGCCAGTTTGCCGAAACACTTGAGCGACAATGGCAGGCGCCACAGCTCGGGGCTAAGCAATGCAGACGAAAGCCCAAAAGCCTCGAACCCGAAACCTCCAGTCCTTCCAGGTCCTTCCTTCCTTCCCCAAACTTGCACTATTTTTTATATCCTGCATCAACAGCAGGAGCAGCAGCAGCTACAGACATGATAAATTCTCTTTAGTATGCGGCATACATGAGTGATGATATTAACCAACAACAGGCAGCTTCCTTCGGGGGAAAGGCGCCTAAAAGGGGGGACGAGACACTGACAAGTTAGTCAGCCAAAAAGGGAAGAATCGGTTGGAAAGAGAGAGATTTATTCTTCCCAGCATCCTTGTCTCCTTTCTTTTTTTGTAGTTTTGGGAGCAGGTAAATGTGTGGAGCCACAAGAAGTTGCCAAGTGTTTGGCATACTGTCTATGGGTGATGTTTGGATTGATGATTGAAGTGCAAAGTGGAGTTTGAAATGCGGAAAAGTGAAAGCTAAAAGAGGGAGGAATAATATAAAATGCCAAAGAAATTAAATGCGCACAAATTACTAATTTAATAATACAAAACTCATTTTTGAAAGTCTTGTTTCATTTCAGTTTTATGTCAATTATACATTTACTTTTGTTTCATTAACATACTCGTTTGTTGCTCTTATTTATTTTCAGATTGTTCTTTGTTCTTGTTAAGTTTTTGTTTGCGGATTTTAATATTTTACTTCGCAATGAGTGAAAATACCATAAGGTTTTCCACAATCTCATCTCAGTCTACTTATGGCACAACTTCAGGATTGGATTCTAAAACATCGGGATCCTTAGACAGCTCGGCCACTAAGCAAAGTGCTGAGGAAAAACTTCGATTTGAGAAGCCCAACAAAGATGATAAGCCCAAAAAAACAGATTTCAAATCGTATCCTATAACCTTACCAACTGATAAAAAGACGAAGATCACTAAGAAAGAAACCAAAAAGCAAATAGAATCTATTAAACCCATTTTGAAGAAGGAAACTCAAACTAGAACAATACGAGATTCTTCAAATTCATATGCCAGAAACGATAAATGGAACCTGAATAAAGCCACCTTTAAAGTGGTTGAAAAACCAAAAGGCAAAACATTTAAACTCTCTGAAAGCAAGTCCCAACTGTCGGTAATTTCAAAGATATCAACTCGAAATGTTAGTCTAAGGAGTTTCAATCGGGATGATATCTCTAGAAATTACTCTCTGGGTTCGGGCTTAAGCTCCTCAGGGTCTGCCCTGACTATATTTTCAAATAAAACTCAATTGTCTACATTCTCGAAGGGAAGTAAAAAATCGCAGAATAAATTATGGGGTCCAAACAAAATTCGCAAACTGAAAGCTCAAAAAAGGATTCTGAAGTTCTATTAGGGAAAACCCAATTACAGTCAGAGCCAAAGAAGCCTTCGAAAGTAGATGATTTGATCCCTTTATCGAATTCCGATGAGGAAGAGTACATGCTCGAAGCAGAGAGTCCTTGTAGGGAACCTGAGGAGCAATCGATAGATGACACAGCTGAACGAAATGCTTTTCTAAGGATTTTTGGTAGTGTGCCAGATATCGAAGCCATTTCCAGTACAGAAACTCTGGATAAATTGAAATTAGCCGATGCAGAAGCTGACTTTGAGTATGTAACACCCGTTGATCGTTATAGCGAAGAATCCCATGTATCAGAGGCACCAATTAGTTCTCTAGATGAAATTGAAACTTATAGAATACATAAGACCAAAAGCTATCAAAGTTCAGATATTAGTTTGGATGATCTAATTGAAAGTGAAGATGAACCGGTGAAAGAACCTAGTGATGTAGAAGAACCCCAAGTGGAGGATATATCTGTCCTTATGAAGAACATTGGCGATCAAAAAATTAATGTGGACCTTGAGAGCTCTTCGTCGAGTGCAGACCAAAAATATCGTTTGCTATTAATCGAAAAGTTGGACGCATTCCTTGATGAATTACTCGAACAGGCTGCAAAGTTGGCCTTTAGGCCTCGTATGCAACGAATTTTGGATACTGGAAAACTAATAGATGAACTGAAAAAACTTGTAGATCAATATAAAGAGTTTTTGCATCAAAATCACAATCTCGATGTCATAATTTTTGAGTATTTTATACTCCGAAAGGATTTTGCATATATCAATATGGATGGGGAAATGATGAGATACAGAGACCTCGTTTCATGGAAGCTATTAAGAAGCTAGACTTTCAGTTGGGTCGTGAAAAGGAGGCAAAATTATTCATCGATAAACTTTTGGGCGAACTTAAAGATCAGGAGAAATTTGCCAAAAGATTTGAAGTTGAAAAGGTCGAGCAATTCGAGGCCAAAGTTAGGAAAACTCTCTTGAAGGATGGATACGATCGTCTGAGTTTTGTGATCAAAGATCAGTTCAAAAAGATGAACAAAGTACGCGATGAAGTATCCAAATCTAGACAGAAATTGGCCTTTGTTCAACATGAGCTGGCAACCATTAAGATTGTGAGTTTTATTTATTTATTGTAGTATAATAATATATATATCTTAGAAATCTGAGAAAATGGAAGACCAGGGCATTGGCGTTAGTGAATATTTGACCAATCAGGCAGTCATTCAAAAAATATGCGCCAAGATTAATGGTAATTTACTCTTTATACTTTTTATTAAGTATTTATAATAAAATAATTCAAGAAAGGGACGCTGAGCTGAACCGTCTAAAGGATCGTGTTACCTATGATGTCCACACAATGGCTCATTTGAAGGAAAAGGAGAGATCAAGTCGAGATCAGCTGAAAGAGATGAAGGAGAAACTAAAGTCCAAGAGGCTGAGACAAAAGGAACTCCGAGATCTTCTTTATACTGGAATGATCAGGAGGAAAAGTCTTAAAAAGGAAATAGAAAATGTCCGGCGTGGTAGCTTAATGCATTATCCGGAAATGCTAAGAGATTATGATGCCACAAAGGAGCATCTTCAGGCCAAGCAAAAGGTTATTCAGAAACTGAGATTAGAGCACAATCGCCTCATAAGAAAATATCGCAAGTGGAATCAGTAATAGAAGAAGGAGAAAACTAAAATACAAACCTTACTTTTGATATCCTTGATTTGTTTTATGTTGGTGTCGACTAAAATATAATATTCTTAACGAACTCTTGCTTCAAATTAAGTATTTCCTTAGAGTTCTCTAAGGTCTTACTAAAGACCCATATATATATTGAAGTCATGTTTTGCATACTTTGGCAGCTGCCATATATCTTAGTTTCTGGACTCTGAACAAGACTATGAAAACATTGGACGCATATACCTGCTTCATGTACAAGCCACTGGGAGTGTATTAGTTTGCGGTGAAGTAGCAGGTAGCAGGATCTAAGGATGTGTCTAGCTAGGGGCAGGACAAAGTCAGAGGGGGAAGCCTTCTGAGTCTGTCCAGGCTCGTGGTCCGTGTCTAGTTTGGCCTGCTCCTTGGTATGCACATTTCATGTTGCACTTAAAAACAAAAAACGAACAGGTGAGCTCAGGTATGTGTTCCAGGGCAGCTTGTTCAACAGGACAAGGTGGAAGGGGGGAGGTGGAGCACACAAACATGTGGCGAAAACTAATAGCAAAAAAAGAGGAGAAGAAGCAGCAGCAGCCAGGAAAAACCGAACCAAAACGAACCGAGTTAGGTTAATGGCAAAGGTGCTGATGCTGCTGCTGGTGCTCCTGCTGCTGTTGCAGCTGAATTTGCAGCACCCTTTGGCCCCAAACTAAGCAGCTCCTTCCCACGGTCACCCCAAAGCATCACCCTTTTCGGGTGTATTTTTTATGGTACTTTTTTTTTGGTCTTGTGACCAACATAAGGGAAAGACAGGTGCACTCATGCACTGGAAGAAATCTATTGATATAATAAAAATTTTAAATTATAGAATATAATGGATTTAATTAAGCCTGAAAAGCTAATTTTATTGCAGTGAGAAATATGATTCATTAGTACAGTAAATAATAAATAATATAGTAAAATAACATAATAAATAATTAGTTAAAGAGGGAGATATATTTCAATAACTATTTAATTTAAAAACCATATAACTTTATGTTATTTAAGGAAACCAGCTACATTTAACTTAATGAAACTTTGCTGTTTTCCACTCCCTAAATTATCACAAATTATTAAAAAATTATAGATATTTTTTCACAGTGTATGATATTCTATTGGTTGCCCCTATATGTGTTTTTAGCACGCATGTTCCAAGCGCTTATCGCCATCGTCGCATCGTCGGCTTCTGCTAAAAGAGGTTAGAGGGATTTTTCCTTTTTATTTTTCAGTTTTTCCTTTCCTTTTTTTTTTTTGGTAGGGGAAAGTGTGGGCTAAAGAGTTAAAGGTACTCATTGCAGGTGAAAGAAGGAAGGGGGTTGCGGGATTCTTGGCAAGCAAGACGAAATTCCGTTAGCTAAATTCGATTTTGCACTTGAGCCGCTTGCAAGCGAGCTAATGCAGAAGAGCGACCTTCTACCATCTCTCCTAGCACTCTGGCTATATAGATATATATATATATGTTCTGCACCTTTATTTCCCTCAACTAAAAGCTATTTTTGGGCTCGGAAGTTTTGGGAGGGAAAAAATGCTAAAACTAAAGCTAATGCGCTTAGTCAAATGGTTGAAAAACACAGGAGAGGCGATTGAGAACATCTAATAATGGGGTTTCTTTTTAATTGGAAAATATTTTGGTACTAAAATTACTTGGAAATTCAAAGAAGATTTGAGAAAGAATGAAAAATATTATTATAGGTAATCATAAATACTTTAAAATAGATCGCTTAACTATCCTGAAAAGCCCAAAATATTCAAATTGTAGGCTTTTCTGCTCATTTAAAAATTAAATTGAATATAGAAGACAATTAGCATTCGATTGATATACTTCTTTTTACTTTTCCTTCTTATTGAGTTTCCCTTTACCGAAAGTCACATGTTTTTTTGATGGCGGCATACTTTTCTACACTAAAAGCAATTTGGATACTCGACAGCACACCTTTCAATAGAGCATATGCAATGCACGTTCAAATTTGCATCTTCAATCTGCAATTTGGTTGAACGGAAGGCGGAACTGACTATCTATGACCTGGTATCTATAAGCCAATTTCCGTTGCGCTTTCCTGCTGTTGCAGTGTTGCAATGACCCGGCATTACATTACATTATATAATTCGACGTTGTTTCAACTGCTGTCGCGCTCAATTAACGCAGTTTGGTGTTTTTGGAGCATTTCCCTTTACGCCAGTGCATTTCCCTTTCCTGCACAACCGAATGCGAAAGGATCATGATGATGATGATGCTATAAGTATTTCCGCCATATTACGAATATCATGACAAACAAGAAGAAAAAAGAGTAAGGGAAATGGGTTACAGTGCGCGCCAAAGCTGTAATCGTTTTAGACCGGAAATTGTTTCGCTTGGCGGGAATAGCAATGGTGGATAAGCATACTTCTGCTCTTATTTGAGGGTTTTGTGGGTAAAAGTTAAGCATTTTAAGGTAGAAATAAATACTAATATTATTTCTACATATTATTATAAAACAATTATTATAAATTTAATATAGGAAAAAAGAAATTTAAGCAGGAATATAAAAGGAAATAAGTTAAACAAGAAGGAATAATTCACTAAAAGAGATTTTTATTATAATAATATCATTTTATATAATATAATATCCTTAAGATAATTCTAAGCAATTCCAAGACATTTTAACAATCTAAAATTTCTTCTTTTACATCCTGGCCATATACCTTTGCCTCTCACTGTTTTGTTGCAAAAATTTGATTAAGCTGCGCAGCGATTTATGCTTGGAAATTATTTATAAATAAATCTAGTTAACTATTTGCCTGCAGCGGAGAAGGACGTCAGCCCTTTCCTGTTTATGTGCCACGCCCCTCTTTATGCTCCCCTCACACACACACACACACATGGTGCATTCCACTTAAAGCGTGCCACACACATCCACAACACACACACACACACACATTTTGAGTAATAAACTCATTTCATATGCTGACTGCTTTTTCATTTCAAAACTTTATATTTTTTTTCGCCCTCTTTTGGTTTTCCTGTTGTTGGGTTCTTGTTAGCTGGAAAATGGGGAAAAAGGACTTAAGGGGTAACTCCTAGCAGGGTCAAATGATATACGAGTATGAGAGCTGTGTTCACTTTTTTGTTTTGCTTCCTTTTTTCCCCTTTAACCATGGAGTTTCTGGAGTTTCAGTTGTTGTTTTGGCTGCAACTTGCCGGGAAAATATTAAATATGCATACGCTAAATGCAGCCCAAGTCGGGTTTTTCCCTTTGCTTGTGTAGCTCTCCTTTTTTTACCTGGTAATTTGAGAAAATAAAGGTATATTATATATCAATGAAAAACTTTAAGGGATGTCAGTATTAAAGAAGGATATGTGTGGGTATTAACTTACTGATAAGATGCCTTAATTGAGGAAAAACAAGTCTAGATTGGTAAAACCAATCAATAAATTCGTTTACTAGTGATTTAAGCTCATTAGACTCCCTCTGAAAATATTTAAAATGTAAATTACAACCAAAATGAATTATTCTAGAGTAAGTTCTTTGTCGAAAACTTCAAGAAAATGCATGTTTTCAACACTCTTTTGTTTGCTAGGGTTAAATGTAGGTGAAACTTGCTGTCAGAATGCCTGACATAGCTGTAATGAAATTTGTGCAGACCACGTCACCGGCAATTCACCGACTGCATCACCCTCCTCCAAAAATGGTGCACTTCCTCGTTCATTTCACCTGGAAACGGCCAACTGTATCGTACTACTAAACACAGTTGAGTGACATTTTAATAAAGTGCTCACTTGTTCAATTAAATGCCTGAGGCTTAGGGGTAAAAAAAGAATAGCTGTGCATAAAAAAGTAAAGTGCAAAGGCAGACAAACAGTCACTCAGTCAGTCAGTCAGTGAGTCAGATATTACGTATACGTAATATTCCAACTGCATTCTACCGATGTCTTTTGTCTGACATTCGATTGTGTTTAGCTAACAAGAGATGGATGGCACGGATGGATGCATGGATGAATGGGCGGAATGATGGGTCGATGGAAGGATGGATGGTTGGATGGATGGAAGGATGGATGGATGGTCCTTTTGGCCGGATGGTTGGTTATGTCAGTGCATTAGCTTCTAGGTGACGAACAATGACAGTTCTTGGGGTCACGACACATCTGCCAGTGTGGCAGTGTGACAGTGTTCCATTGAGTTGAGGTTGAGATATCCATAGTTGCTATGCAATTACTTGGCTGATTGCAAATGAGCAGTATTATCAAGTGACAATGCGAAGGCTATACTTTGTGGTGTCATAAAATAATACAGCTGACATAATTATCGCTTATAAATTACTCAATGCACTGAAGGAAAATAGTTTGCAATTGCTTTAACTATAACATTTTATAAAATAAAAAAGAACAATTAATTATGCATTAAGTGAACCTGAAAATATACTTAGGCACTCTTGCTTTACATTATTTAATTTAACTAACTTAATATATACAAATAATACATGTGCTTAGGATCAAAATAAACAAAAATAACTCCACAAGTATTTGAAAGACTTCACTTCTTTAGCTATTATTTAATTTATAAACTTAATATTAGATCTAGGTCTAGGCCAAGGTGATGCTATGCCGTAAGAAAATTAAATTAAAGAAAATATGATTTTGAAGGTACTTTTTGTAGTTGAACAATTTAAATTATCTGAAAAAGTTAATACTTTTTTTTTTTTGCAAAACTGGCTTCGATAACCGAAAGCAAATTGAAAACTCGACAAAAGTTTTACCTTGGAAACAGTGTCAGCATCTAAAAGATATTCCACAGGCGGCAATCGGAAAACAGGACACCAAGGAGTGGCATCAACCATGAAAATTGGCACATCAGGGGCTTTAAGCGACAATCGTTTATCTACAGCCCAGACTTGGGAGCACCTTCCGGTTTATACACGGATATATATATATGGATGTGCCTGCATTATCCTGGTAACACGATACGACAAGCAAAGCGAATCGAATTACAAGCCAAATAAATTTCTCGCCGGAAAGAGGGAACAAGTGCAGATGTTCCCTTAGATTCGTAGAGACATTTAAGGGGAAATCAATCTAAAGAAGCTTACATTCTTTAA